TCGTCCACGCTATTATAAGTTAAAAAAGTAGCTTATAATATATCAGTCTATGTCAACTACCCTTCAGTGAAAGTCCGGTCGAAATTGACTTAGCCGTTTCGGAGGTTACCCGAGACAAACGCAGCTTGCGGACAAACAGACAGACAAAAAATTTAAATGCGATTTTCGTTATCAGCAACGCAAATATCTTCCCGAATATAATATAATCTTCCCGAAATCTGGATTTTTTTTGATATTACAAACACACACTCCAATCTGACTATCTTACTCTTACTAATATTATAAATGCGAAAGTTTAGATGGATGGATGTTTGTTAGAGTTTGTAGTCTAAACGGCTGAACGGATCTTGATGAAATTTCGCATAAATGTAGAGGATAGTCTCAAAGAACACATAGGCTATTCACTTTTGTTGTCTTTTTAATTCCACGCGGACGGAATCGCGGGTAAAAGCTAGTATATAGATTTAAATAATAATTTACACTTATATCTCAAATAGAACAGTATATTTTATATTTAATTAATTATTATTCATGAGACATCGTAAATTATTCAAATACATAAATTCAATTAACTAAATGGAGACCAAGTGCGTATTCAACATCGATCTAATCATTTTACGATAAGCGCCATCTATGATTCGATAGTGAAAACTTTAATAACCAGAACGGTTGGTAATAGAAACTCCAAGGTAGTGCAACAATAGTACAATAGATGGCACTATATAAGTAAATTTTATCTTGGCTAATTTTCAATAGAATGAATTAAATAAAATTAAATTTTATTATAAATCTTATAATGTACGTTCTTTAATAGTAAATTAGTAAGGATTAAAATATATAACATGAATTTTACGGACATTTTCTTAACATTCAACATGACAATTTAGAACTTATATAACAATTAGCTGTTGTTTACATGCGTCAAATTATCAATAGCAAATGTCAAAATGACATGACATGACAAACCTTGACAATCTTGCTTCCTTGATGTTGGCAGCAATTTATTGTCTCTTTCTACTACTATATTACATATTATCTATACTATTATAATAAAGCGTAAACACACACTTCTTTGTTGCCTAAGATGTCAGCAATTACACCATATTTTTGAATGGTTCTTTTTTTTATAAAAAAGCCCTATACTTACGTCACGCTTTATATTTTCACGCCATTAAACTTAGGGGGAAAATATTTTGAATATAAATCCTAATGTGGGAAAGGGACCATAAGTTGCTGCCAACATCAAGGAAGCAAGTCTACAAAGTTTGTCATGTCAAGTCATTTTGACATTTGGTATTGATAATTTGACAAATGTAAACAATAAAATAAAATTTTCACAATTTCATGCGGATGAAGCCGCACGGGAACAGCTAGTATTAAGATAAAAGTAGCCTATAATATGTCCGTCTATGTCAGCTACTCTTCAGTGAAATCGGCCCAGCCGTTTCGGAGATTGCCCGGAACAAAGGCGACTTGCGGACATACGGAAAGACAGACAAAAATTATTAAATTATATTTTCGTTATCAGCAACGCAAATATTACAAATAGACACTCCAATTTTCTATGTATAAATATATAATTATGTTCCTTCAGGCATTACGCCTCAGGGATGTTTTTGAAAGGGTCGCAAAGATCCTTGAGAATAGCAGAGGACTTCAAATAATAATTATTTCGTGATACAAGGTAAATTAAGGACTTAACCCCCTTTACAAAGTATGGATTGTGATGCTAAGGTTATGCTAAAGAAGAAAGGAACAGTTGTGCGATTGTCGATTGTTTCGCAGCCAATTCAATTGTTTAGTTGCCCAACTGAAAATCGAGTAGTGCCCCTCTATATTAGCTCAGGAATCAATGCAAGACTAAACAGTTGTGCGATAGTTTTATCAAATGTGTACGCGTTCTTACTTTGAAATCTGTTAATATCTTACATAATTGTAAACACTATTGTTACATGGCTGTAGTTACGATAGCAATTCATAAGGTAATTGTTCTATTCAATCAACTAAAAAGTTCGCATTTCATTCATTGCTATCGCTTACTTACTTTACTTAAAACAAGTAACTTAGCAAGAAAATCTCCACAAAAATAACATAACATTAAAGTGTGATTACGTTTAATTTTAATTTACACCAGTTAATTTAGTGACATAAAGAAAATACGAAACACAACTTTGAAGTAACAAAGGTGAGAAAGAAAATCATTAATAAGTAAAACAAAAGAAAATCAGAGTAATTCGAAAAATAAAAAACAATCGAGCATCGGAAACAATCGAAGAAAATTACAATTTGAAAAACAATCGACTAACGATCATGTATATAAAAATAATATTGTTAACGATGGTATTAAAAAACGTAAATACTCACACACCCAAAAACAATTCAGATGTGTTCGTCACATATCAAGAACATAGCGAATTAGGGAAAATAAATGAGAAAATATTGGAACCTAAGGAAGAAAATAACAAAAGTACACCAAAATCTATAACAGAAGTATTAACAGAAAATTATGGTACTACATTCGAAGATGTTTTATTCATACCAAATGAGAAACCAATCATTAGAAATGAAGATTTAAACAATGAAGAGGTAAAAATAGATGATTTGATGAACAGGAAATATCTAAGCAATGTGATGGAGGAAAGAAAAACTGCTAAAACAGGTAAAAAAATGATTTATTGTGCTATATATAATCCATCCACTTGCCCTTATCCCTTACGGAGGGTCGGCACAGTATGTTCTGCTCTTCCATACATTTCTATCAGTCGTCACATCTGAATCCACTCCCTTCTTAAGGATATCCTCTTTCACAAAATCCATACTTTCTTCGGTCTTCCTCCACCTTTGTAGCCATCCACATTACTTCTTAACACTTTCTGGTTTATGTCCCCATCGTCTTGCATACCATGTTACAGCTTATAGCAAACTTATAAATAACAAGCTGTTGCCCGCGAGATCGTCAGCATGGTATTAGAAAACATACGAACTATAAATAATAAAAAGCTACGAATCCCTGGAACCGGACATTTCTCGAAGATGAACCTTATCCCATATGTAGTCCAGGCTTTGATTTATATTTGTGCCAAATTTCAATAAGATATGTTGAACCGTTGCAGAATGATCGAGTAAAAATTAAGAAACTAAATTGATGAATCCCACGGGAACCGTAACAATTCCCGGGATAAAAAGTAGCATATGTGTTCTTCCAGACTATGCTCTTAACCTGTGTCAAATTTCAACAAGATCCGTTCAGCCGTTTAGGCTACAAGCGCTAACAAACATACATCCATGCATCCTAACTTTCTCATTTATATGATTAAGTGCCTTTCGCCCGCGACTCCGTCGGCGCGGAATTAGAAAAAAACAAATGCAAGGAGCCTATGTGTTCTTCCAGACTATCCTCTACATCTATGCCAAATTTCATCAAAATCCGTTCAACCGTTTATGCTACAAACGCTAACAAACATCCATCCATGCATCGTAACTTTCGCATTTATAATATTTATATGATTAATTAAATTGCAGATTCACCAAATGAACAAGTTCTTTTCATATCTGGGAAGAACAAGGAAGACGAGCTAAATACAAATACAGAAACAAAAGTCAATCCAAAGAAAAAAACAATATTCGATGATTTATCCAAGGAAGTTAAAATAAAACTGAATTGTTCTAACTTAGATTGTAACAATAATCAAGACCCTGTGTGCGGAGCCAAAGCTGAAAGGAACAAAATTAAATACAGATTGTTTTTAAATGAGTGCTACTATAAGAAAGTTAACTGCGCTTTTAAATACAACTTGAATAGTAAGTAATCAACAGCCTAACTACATGCCTACATTCAGAACTTAATCCAAAAGACTTATGAAAATTCGTGATGTTAACTCTATCCGACGTAAAATGGCGAGCACGAACTACATTTTTAACAAGATTGAAATATTAAACAGAGGAGACATAATTGACATTTCATTTGAGACGTTTTAAATTAATTGCCATAAGGTGTCATTAAAAATATTTAAATGTTTATGTTTAATTTCGTAACAATGTTTAGTTTATTTTTTATCAAAACTAGCTGTTCCCGTTCGACTTCATCCGCATAAAATTATAAAATTTTTATTTTGTTGTTTACATGCGTCAAATTATCAATTGCAAATGTCAAAATGACATGACATGATGACAAAGCATGGCAACCTTGCTTCCTTGATGTTGGTAGCAACTTATGGTCTCTTTCCCTCATTATTGATTTTATCCAAAATTTTTACACCCTAAGTTTAATGGCGTGAAAATATATAGCCAAAGCGTGACGTAAGTGTAGGGCTTTTTATTAAAAATTATTCAATTATTAAGAATTATTCAAAAATATGCTGTAACTGCTGACATCTTAGGCAACAAAGAAGTGTGCGTTTGCGCTTTATTATAATAGTATATATAATATAGATATGGAGCTTTTTATAATTACTTATAATGTTTTTATTACATGTCAATACAAGGACACGAGTTGGCAACAAACTTGACAATTGATATACGAGTTGACAACCTTTATGAACAAATATCGATGAAAAAAAAAATTGTTCGATATGCCTCTTCTATATATTTTAAATGTCTTTGATTTTGATGTGTACTAAGTACTAACTACGTACTACAGAGGCGATGTTTTACATAACCTAACGATTTTAGTCTCTAAGCGAAGCGAAGAGTGAGGACTCTTCCCTGTATATGAACTTTTTTGATATTTGAATTAGGTAAATCGCTTGGATACTAACATTGTTAGGTTCTGTAAAACATCGCCTCTGTCGTACGTAGTCATTTCGTCAAAACCAAAGACATTTAAAAAGTATATAGAAGAGGCATATCGAACAATTTTTTTTTCAACGATATTTTTTCTTAAAGGTTGTCAAGTTTGTTGCCACCTCGTGTAGTTACGAGGCCGGCTTTAAAGAAGATAGAAATGTGCCACCACATTTCTGTCTTCTTTAAAGCCGGTTGTTCTCAACATGTTTGTCAATATGTTTCGTGAGAAACGTTGGCGATCATTGCTGTCTAATAAATTTAAAAATAACTCCGTTTCAGAATACAGGAAAGTAAATTTAACAAAATGCGAGCAGGTAGCTGCATTGAACTTTGAGAGGCCAACTTACAAACTTAAAACTTCATCTAGCAAGTCAGCTGATGCCAACAATACAAGAAGAAACTTCTCTTCTAGAAGGTATGTTACCATAAAATAAATTATCAAACTAAATTCAACTGATTTAAAAATATTTAAAAGCATAGGGATCGAAAGAAATCTCTTCTCCTTCCATTTTCTTTAACAAATGACTGGAAGAAGAAATGTACTTGACAGATGTTTAGGAAAATTTATATACCTGTGGTCATAGGTCAGAATATGATAAACTAACTGTTCGCGTGCGTCTTCACCCGCATGAAATTATAAATTTATTGTTTGCATTTGTCAAATTCTCAATTGCAAATGTCATAGTACCAATTACCTTACTATGGCAATCTTGCTTCCTTGATATTGGAAGCAAATTATGGTCTCATTCCCACATTAGGGTTATTATCCAAAATATTTACCCTCTAAGTTTAATGGCGTCTAAAATATTTTTTTCTAAAAATATTTTTATTAAAAAAAGAAATATTTAAAAATATGGTGTAATTGCTGACATCTTAGGCAACAAAGAAGTGTGTGTTTACGCTTTATTATAATACTATAGATATAATATTTTGTATATAGTTATGACCAAATGAGAAAGCATTATTTGTTTGCTAATTTGCCATCACAATACAAAATTATGCATAACAACCAAAGACATTTAAAAATATATAGACGAGACACTGACCAAATATTTTCACCGGTACTTTCTCTGACAGGTACTATATCAATTGTCAAGTTTTCGTGTCGTATCTTCGTATGTTTTAAAAATCTTTAATATCAACTCATTTTTGACCGACTTCCCAAAAGAAGGAGGTATTCAATTCGTCGGTATATTTTTTATTTTTTTTTTTTTTTTTTTTTTTTTTTTTTTT